GGTTCCAACAAACCTAAACCATCCAGTTAACGTCTGGGTTGTGGTACAAATTTCAGTCATAGTTTGAGATAATTTGTATGGTTGAAGATAAGGGTAAGAATTTGAGACCTCAGTAGGTATAAAAACACCAGACGTTTACTTGATCTTTCATGTTTTGCAAGAAGAAATCCAGGATGACGGGCCAGGAACAGTTAGACATAATTAAAAAGAGCACAAGTCAGCTTATTAGAGTAACGTCTATCAAATCTAGTATTTTAGACCTCATTCTTGTACTTTCATGCTCATTTCTGCGGGTTATAAGAAAACGTTCTCAAATGTTAGAGGAAGCATTTTCCTTACACTAGGTGAAGGTATAGAGGACTTAATTCACACATACTTTGGATGGGTATCATCCTCTTTTTGTATCTACTTTATGTGTACTGTCATAAACAGAACTGATCCCACTTCAGGCATGCACAAGTATCAATGTTAGAGATTATTTGACCTCATAGGGCCCTTCAGCGTACTACTAGGATGATAAATAATTGCTATAATTTTCCCATCATGCCTTCAGTGTTTATGCTCACCCTTGTGTTTCGTGCCTTCTCTCTCCATGTGCTGGCTAGATTTATATCAACTTGATATAAACTATTGCCATCTGAAAAGAGGAAACCCCCTTTGAGAGAATATCTCTATGAGATCAGGCTGAGGGTCAGCTTAGAGAGCATTTTTTAAATTAGTGACTGGTCGGGGTCAGCCCAGCCCATGATGGGTAGTGCTATCATGATCCTGGGATCTATAAGAGAGCAGGCTGAGCAAGCCATGTGGAGCAAGCCAAGTAAACAGCACCCCTCCATGAATTCCACATGACTTCCCCGCCTCCAGGTTCCTGCTCTGTTTGATTTCCTGTCCTGATTTTCTTTGATTATGACCTGTGATATGGAAGTATAAACCAAATAATCTCTTTCTCTGTCAACTTGCTTTTTGGTCATGGCGTTTTGTCATAGCAATAGAAACTCCAAGTTACTCCCTGAATCAGAAATCTACCTTCTGCTGACGTTTATTGCTTGTTTATTTGTTTCCTCATTTAATCCTTGCCTAAATTTCTATTCTTTGTTTTTTTTTTGTTTGTTTGTTTTTATTTTTTATTTTTTTTATTTTTTGAGACAGGGTTTCTCTGTAGCTTTTAGTTCCTGTCCTGGAACTAGCTCTTGTAGACTACTTTTTTTTTTTTTAAAGTTACCAATTGATAAATATATGCTACAAACCATAGTAGTTAACAGGATGTAAAGATACATAAGACAGGATATTTTTCTCAGAAAATTTACACTTCAATCTAGAAAGTCACGTATGTGTTTGTGTGTTTAGCTCTCATCATCGTCATCATCGCCATCATCATCTAGATACCATGGTAAGCGCAGGAATGGCACAAAGCAAATGGAAACCTCATTTGCTCAGTCATCTTGGGAGAATATTCATTAAAATGAAATCAAGGGGGTCAGGACAAGCTTTCCCAAGATGATACTGAGACAAAACAAAGTGTACTAAATCAAGGTACATGAAGCACATTCCAAGTAGAAGAAACTCTGGGTCACCCAAGCTGCTGGGTAGATGACTGTGCCCCCAATAGTCCCTAGGAATGAAAGAAATAGAGCCACCCAGCAGCAGGTCCTGAAAGCCAGATCTTCTTTATGAAGTTTTCTCTGGCTGACTTAACCCAATGTGCTTTTCCCCCCAGCAGAACAACACGATCAGGGTATTGAGCCACTGACAGCTCAGGCTGACCTAGCCCAATGTGATTTTCCCCGGTAGAATGGCATGATCATAGTATTGAGCCACTGAAATCTTGGGCATGGTCATTAGCTATGAGAAGTAATATCAAAATGATAATGAGCCTCATCCCAGGAGAACCTCCGGGATTGATAGTGAATGGGAGAAGAAGCAGAGTCTGAAAATATTTAAAAATAACTTATTCCGAGAACTTACTTCTTCTACTTATAACTCCATGGTGGGGTCCTCTTGAAAATTCCCTTATTTCAGGCTACATTTATAGAAGCAATCTTCTAGAAGCTGAAGTGAGATTTAGAGCCCACATGAGAGATTTTTCTCCCTCTACGGGAAGGATACTGTATTGTATGTAAAGTCTATTTCAGTCACCAGAAACCTACTAGAAAAGCCCCGGCTGCCTGCTAGCTCATGCCCAAAATAACAACACATAAATCGTATTCTTTTAAACACTGCTTGGCCCATTTCTATCTAGCCTCTTCTAGGCTAATTCTCACATATTAATTTAGCCCATTTCTAATAATGTGTGTAAGCACCCCAAGGTGCGCTAACCGGGAAGATTCTAGCCTCCGTCCATCCTGGGTCTGAGCTTCATGCGTCTGCCTCAGAGCACAGAGCTATCGCATGTCTACCCGGGAGAGCTGAGCATGGTGTCTCTGCTCCAGCGAGCAGAGCTATCGGGTCTGTCTGAGGAGTCTTACCTCACTTCCTCTTCCTCCTGTTTACTCCTCCCACCTATGTTTTAACCTATCAGGGCCAAGGAATTTCTTTACTGCTTAACCAATGAAATCAACAGATTGATATATGACACTCCCACATCAATGACCCCACTGGAACATGTGAAGCGTCGGGTCCTGCAGAGTGATACCCTTTTGGTCTCCATGGGTTGGAGCAACCACAGGATATCCAAGAGGAATTTTGAAGAGGGTCCAGTGATGATGGTGTACTAGAAAACAAAGAAACCAGAGCAATATCTCATTGGAATAAAGATTTGCAAGCGAAGCACAGAGGACAAAAGCCTATACTATGTGATATAACATGGCTCCCAATGCCACTAAGAAGAACGAAGAAGAGTTGGAGAGCTGGAAAAGATGGAAGGGCAAAATGATCTTTTGTTTGTTTGTTTGTTTTGGTGGAGGATGCTGACAAGTTGAAAGGGAAGTGAGTGGAATTGGGGTGTGATGTAAAAAGGTACCAATATAGAAATTAGGTTAAAAAACAGAAACAAAAGAATGATTGAATTACTGACTTCAGTTTCTTAAAAACACATGAAATGAATTTTGACCTTTGATTAGGGAAGAATTTCTGGCGAAATTTGAAATGGCTCTGCTGCACACTTTGCCATTTTGCACCAAGCATTCATGTGAAGTGGTATTTTCTGCATTGAAGTTTATAAATTGCCAGTCAGCTCTGAAAAACGTGCAAGTTGTCCCACATCCGACTGCACAAATGCTCATACAGCATTTCATTTCCTATATAAAACAAAACAAGCACATCCATCTTACTACATGGAAATGCACAGTCATGTTTAATAAAGTGGTAAATGTGTATATAGATATCAAAGGTGTTTTAAAATGTCTTCATGATCTATTACCACCAAATTGATTTTGTATCTTTTTACATATCTGTACACTCAGACTCACAAAGAAATTTTTCTTGGGCAAAGTGGAGATAGAGATAAAAGTTTAAGAAGCCCTTTTACATATAATATAGTATATGAAGGATTTTACATTTAGTAATTGTCAATAATCTCTGGCTTAGGAAGTGACTGCGGCACTGCCAGATAGCCATTTGCCTGGAAGGCATTGTTTTAAAGACTTAGGGGAACTTGAATAGCTTGATGTGTTTCATAGTGTGATCGAGTGTTTCATAGTCATGCACACACACGCGCGCATACACACACACACACAACACACACACATATACACACACAGGCATTTAGGTAAGTTCTCTGCCAAAATGTGTGAACAACAGCATTTTGTTCGAGAAACAGCATCAAAGCAGCATATATAGTTATGTAGCTATGTTGTAGCTAGCTGCTCTTTTTTCTTTCTCATGTGGTTTAAGGTATAGAATGAATGTGGGCTAATAAATAGCAGATAGCTTTCATGTATTTTTTTTTAATGAAGAGATAATGAAAACTAGAAGACTATATCTAAGTTTATCTACTCATAGTCTTTGCCTTGTCAGTATTTACAGGCTTAATATTCTTATATTATTTTGGTCTCTCAGGCCAGTAAAATAGATACTTTTTTTAAAGGATATTTTATAATATGGCTTCAAGAGACATTATGATGCTAGCTATGAGACTGATTCTTTATACAATTGAGTAATAAATGATTTTTGAGGCTTATTTTTTAATATGTGTAAATGTGTATATAAGCATGTATGTGTGTGCGTGCATGCGTGCACATATGAATGCAAAGGCCTACAGAGGCTAAGCTAAAGTGTATGATGCCCCTAGAGTTGGAGTTACAAGCAGTTATATGGAAGATACAGTATGAGCTCATTGGACACATCTTTGTGAGGTGTAAAATTATGTCTGGATACAAATAAAACTGATATCAATCATTGTAAGAAGAAATAAGTGTACATTCATGGAATTTCTCAGCCCTTCACTTGTATTAAAAATGAAGATGATTCTCTCTGAGCGTGAGGAAACAGAATGACAAATATGTAGCTTACAATGATAAGGAGTAGAAGGAGACAAAAGCAAAACATGGCTGGAGCTATTTTCCTATCAAAAATCATGTTCAACAAAAGCATGAAAACCTTTCATTTTGTTTCATGTTTTAATAGCTTAATTACACTTTTTAAGTACAACAAAAGCAATACACAATCCCTGCAGTAGTTATTTTTTCAGACATTTAACATCAAATTACTTCCAAATTTAACTTGTTTGAGATATGAATGAGAACTATTAAGTTAAAACAAAATTATGACCTTCTAGAATATAATATAAATAGACAAATTAATGAAAAATACTATTTTATGTTTTAATAATATCTTTCAGATCACTAATAGTCAATAGCATTATGTGGGGAATTTAGGCATGATCTGGATTTTATTACGCATATCTACACTTTAAAATGCCTCACAAATTGCCAAGTTTTAATACAAACAGATGCTAAGAAATTAAAATATAGAGAATTTTACTGTATTGTGATCATCATTATCTAAAGGAAACCCTTGAAGAGATTTTTTTTAAAAAAAAGACACTTGCTTTGTTTTTCCAGAGAGCACAGTCAGATGAACTGGAAAAAATTGAAAAGCACAGTCGATCATCCAAGGACAAGGAAAATGCCAAGTCTCTTGACAAGCCTGAACAGTAAGTGTGTCCTGTCCAGAGACCTGGGAGGGCAATGTTCGGCTTCTCAGCAATGGGGAGTGATGGTTCCTGAGTGCATGTTTGTTATAAAGGAAGTGCCACTGTTAGGGTAGCTTAAGCTTTCCCTCCCTTCTTGCCTTTATCTTTCTAGGTTCCTGTATGAGCTGTCTCTAATCCCCAACTTCTCAGAACGAGTCTTCTGCATCCTGTTCCAGTCAACGTTTTCAGAGAGCATTTGTTCAATTCGTCGTAAACTGGAATTGCTACAGAAACTGTGTGAGGTGGGTTCTGGACCAATTGTGTTCAGTCATGTTCTTATTTATTTTTTTTGATTCTTGTTTACTTGAAGTATTTGTAAGTTCAAAGGATAGTAATCCCACGTGAAAGAATATTTGGGGACTAGGCTTCCGTAATAAAGTATGTGTTTAGACATATTCAAAGGGCAGTGGGACCACACTGAGATGCTGGCCATTTTGTATCCATCTCCTGGAATCTCAGATACCAATGGTTTTTAACGAAATCAAAGCCCCATTTTCCATATTCCCTTAGATATCACACTTCCAAATGGAAGAGGTCTTTGGGTTGTTTGTTTAAAATGACCCCTCAGTAAAGTGTTAATATTTATTGTACCCAAATGATTTTTTTGAATAGTCATTTGACTCTCTGGAATATAAATACTCTTCTGAATACAACAAATAAATTTTGGACTGAGGAGGGGACCAAAATTAGCGTTTAAAGCATTGCCGGGCGTTGGTGGCGCACACCTTTAATACCAGCACTCGGGAGGCAGAGGCAGGCAGATCTCTGTGAGTTCGAGACCAGCCTGGTCTACAGAGCTAGTTCCAGGACAGGCTCCAAAGCCACAGAGAAACCCTGTCTCGAAAAACAACAACAACAACAAAAAACCAAACAAACAAACAAAAAAAAGATATGAAAAGCAATAGCAGCAAGCACCAGTCAGCCAGATCTTGGCTTCTAACTATCATTTTAGATACACGCACACACACACATGCATNCGAGACCAGCCTGGTCTACAGAGCTAGTTCCAGGACAGGCTCCAAAGCCACAGAGAAACCCTGTCTCGAAAAACCAAAAATAAAATAAAATAAAATAAAATAAAATAAACAGAAGTGTTTCTTCTTATTGGGGTAAATCATCTCCCAGAACAGAGAGATACTATCAGGAATATCTTCAGAAAAAGTGGCACAAAAACCCGAAGACAGACAGGCCTGGGAGTGGAGAGCGTGAACTTATGGGTAACAAACCTAACTCTAGAATTCAATTTTTATAACTGCTTTTTGGGATTCTACAGTTTGTGCCAGAAATCTGTGTTGTTCCAGACATTGAGACAGTTAAGGATGATAGAGATGATGTTGTTTTATAAAAATTCTCATTGTATGTGGGCTAGAATGGCATCTCTTGGCTTCCACACTCACGCTTGTTGGTTGCATGCTGTTGCAAAGCTAACTTTGAGACACTGTTTTTAAAGTATACAAAATAATCTGGAAGGGAACGATTTGACTGTCACTCAAAACTATGAGTATAATATAATTAGCTTGATATTGAGTTTAGATGATTTAAATAAAATGGCATGTAAGAGAAAAATATTTGCCATCCTGTCTTACAGACATTAAAAAGTGGACCAGGGGTCATGCAAGTCCTGGGTTTGGTTCTAGCCTTTGGGAACTACATGAATGCTGGAAACAAGACGAGAGGACAGGCAGATGGTTTTGGACTAGACATTCTGCCGAAGCTAAAGGATGTCAAAAGCAGCGTAAGTATTTTGTGTTAATGGTTACACCAAATTGAGGACATTTTATTTTTAAATAGGCTTGGGTTTAAACAAGGTACAAGTATCCCTTTCTGTTCTGAGGTCAAAAGTTTCACTCGCACATGCATGCACACAACACACGAACATATATTTATGCTACTTTTGAAGTAGTATCTTATATAGTCCAGAATAACCTCAGACTTGCTATGTTAGTAAGGATGACCTCGAAGTCTGCATCCTTAGGTGTGACCCTCTATTTCTGGCAAAAGTTCTGTTATATTCTGCACTAGGTAAAAGTCAATCATCTGGGTATCTGTCGTTTAAAGGTGTGATAATTTTCCTACCAGAATTGTGAATCCTCTGTGTAATGAGTAATTATATTTATTTTTTTTTACTAAAACTAAGTATTTCTTCTTTTATCAAGCCTGCTAAGTTTGTTTTGGAGTGTTTGGTTTGAAGCTGAGGACTAGTCATTTTTAGTGAATTCGAGACTCTGCCTGTTGTCTTTTCTTCTCTAGGCAGTATAGAAAATAAAACAAGCATGAATGAAAGTAGTTCATAAATAAAGTATAAAAGATGATCCCATTTTCCTGTACACTGTTGCTTCTACTGGCATGTATGGCAGTGTCTAAGTCTGATTGTAGACTTAGGTTTTTTGATTTTTGTGGGTTTTTTTTTTTTGTTGTTGTTTATTTTCTGGTTCTCTTTCTTTTGTTGTTATTGTTTTTTGTTTTGTTTTATTTTGTCTTTTTTTTTTTTTTTTTTTTTTTTTTGCTATAGGGTTTCTCTGCGCAGTCTTGGCTGTCCTGGAACTAGCTCTGTAGTTCAGGCTGGCCTCAAGAATTCCACCTGCTTCTCCCTTCCAAATGCTGGGATTAAACACGCGCATCCCTACCACCTGGCTGACCTAGTTATTTTTAACCCTACTTCCCTGAGGTGGTTTCGCTGCTGTTGTTTAGAATGAATACTGAGGAGACTTCTGGGGTGGACATGGAGGGGTAAGATCAGGCATAGCCATCACAGATGGAAGTCTGAGATGGTAAACCTAGAAAGTAAGAGTTGTGCTTCCCTCCATGAGAATTTCTGCACAGAAAGAACACCAGGGTGGGAGGACATATGAGAGGACTTTTAAGTACTGGGTTTGATTAAGTGATTGTACAAGTGAAATTGTCATCTGGAGAAAATGCAGTCACCCGAGAAGCAGCATTCAGTTATTGCGCTCATGAGTTATAGCATGCAATCTTCATCTTTATGAGAGAGATGCAGCATGCAGTCATTGTCTTTATGGGGGAGATGCAACATGAGCTGTTGTCCTCACAAGCAAGGTGCAACATGTACTCATTGTCCTTGTGATGCAGTTGTCCTCCTGAGAGACATGCAGCATGCAGTTATCGTCCTTATGAGAGAGATGCAGCAAGTAGTCGTCCTCATGAGAGAGCTGCAGCATGCAGTCATTGTCCTTGTGTGCAGCATGCAGTATCATCCTTGTTAAAGAGCTGCAGCATGCAGCCATTGTCCTTATGAGAGACTTGCTTCTTCTGGGGTCTAATCAGTCAGGACTCTTGACTTGTTTATTGTTTCTCCACATTTGCACAAATCATTCAGCATCATTTTTCTCAGGAACTGCTGTGCCAGACACTGCACTTCTGAAACTGAATAAAAGTCTTTTTGTTAGTCCAGTCTGGGGTTATTTGTTTGTTGTTTGTTTGGTTTTGCGTCAAGGTCTCAGTAGCATAGACTGACCTCAAACTCCAGGCAGTCCAGCTTCAGCTTCCCTAGTGCTAGGATTACAGTCTCAGCTAGCTTTCTTTTGTACACGCACATCAGTTAATTTTTTTTGTTTTGTTTTGATCTTTTTTTTATTAAAAATTTCTGCCTCCTCCCTGCCTCCCTTTTTCTTCCCCCTCCCCCCACTCCCCACACCTTACTCCCCTCCCCCTCCCTCTCCAGTCCAAAGAGCAGTCAGGGTTCCCTGCCCTGTGGGCAGTCCAAGGTCCTCCCCCCTCCATCCAGGTCTAGGAAGGTGAGCATCCAAACAGGCTAGGCTCCCACAAAACCAGTACATGCAGTAGGATCAAAACCCAGTGCCATTGTCCTTGGCTTCTCAGCAGCCCCCAATATCCACCATATTCACAGTTAATTTTTATGCCTTTCATGTGTGCTCAAATAAACATGTGCATTCAAGTGCTATTGTATTTATATTATAAACATTACATAGAAGCAAACTTCTGATTTATAGACATAATAAATCATATTGCTAAAAACAGATCTGTTTTCCAAATGGATGTTTGCTGAGACAACTTTTGCGAATAACATTTGAGTATGAAAAGGGCAATATAATGTTAAGCTCATAAAAATTGATCTAAAATATATTCTGATAAACAAAATGTTTAAAATTACTTATGAAGATGGATTGTGTTTTCTATCTTGCTTCATATCTCTTCCTCCCTCTATTAAATTGTAGTTTTTAGTTTCAATAATCACAAAATAACTTAAAATTAAAAATACTGGGGCAAGAAGCAAAATATTTAATAATTAGGCTTCCATTGTTCTCTCATAATATCTATGCAAGATATTTTGAATTGAAATTTTCTTTAGAATGCTAATGTAAATGTATTTACTCCTCACTAATATTTATAGAATAGACACTAAAGTTTCAGATCAACCAGATTGCCCTTTCATTGGCAAGCCTTTAAAAGATGTTTTACTGACTCATGTGCGTCTGTTTCATAAAATGACAATGTAGGACTAAGAATAGATCTCAAGTTGTCTGAGCCACAAGCAAATCCTACTGATGGGGAAATCTTCAATGGCCATATTACAACACCCCATGAAACTGGATTACTGGGTAGCGTTATTCTTTTCATAAATACAGGAAAACTCATGCCTAGATCTAGTAACGGAAGCCCTGAGGACAGTTAAGTTTAAGAAGATTTATTTGTACAAGAGAAAGCCCTAGAGGCAGGTAATATTATAGACCAAAGATGGTTCTGAGTGCCCTGTCCCCATCCAAATGAGTTCAGGTTATATTTACAACCAGATGAGAGAGAGAGAGAGAGAGAGAGAGAGAGAGAGAGAGAGAGAGAGAGAGAGAGAGAGAGAGAGNGAGAGAGAGAGAGAGAGAGAGAGAGAGAGAGAGAGAGAGAGAGAGAGAGAGAGAGAGGCAGACAGAGAGACAGAGACAGAGAGACAGAGAGCCCAAATCAAAGCAGTTGACATTTGTCTTACCTGGACATGGTTTGAAAGACTCTCTGCTCTGTTGTAATTAGCCAACTCTTAGTGGCTTGGTTAACAGTGTGTACTTTTAGAGTAACATCAAACTAGGTTGCAGTTCACTGTGTAAGGAGGCCGTTCTGGACCAACTTTATCACCAGTGTGTAGAGACCAAATTAGGTCAAATCTCTTGTAATTTAACAAAAGGAACATTTCAGAGAATTTATATTTTGCACTAGATTTTCTCTAACTTAAGTTATCTGTTGATTAATTGGAGCATGACAAAAAACTTAATTAAAAATTAATACTTCTAGATGTGCCAGGAAGGGAGCAAAATATTATTTTTTGAAAGCTTCAAATATTGTTGGATATAAAATAATTTTACATTTTCAAATGATATGTACATTATCTTAATAGCATAAGTGTTAATTCCTCAATCTCTGTTGCTAATATAACAAATTGTAATGTGCCTTGCATTTGAGAAGTTTCCACTTACCTGAAATACTTTTCCATTTCTCTGGTCTAAGCACTAAAAAATTTCCATCAGATCCAAAAATTATTTATAATGGCAATACTGGCTAGATCCTTTATATGGGATTACAAGCAATTATCCAATTATGATGATATTTGAAATCCTAAGTGCTGGGCTGGAGAGATTACTCCTCAACTAAGACCTCATGCTGTTCCTTAGAGGAGTCAAGTTCTGTTCCCAGCATTTACAGGGAGGCTCACAGCCTCCTGTAACTCCTGTTCCTGGGAATCCAGTGCCCTTTTCTGGTTTCCACAGGCACCGAACACACATATGGTGTACACACATACATGCAGGCAAAACACATACGCAACATTTAAAAGAACAAAAGTACTAATCAAATTCAAAATAAATGCATTAAATAAAACATATAAGCATTGAGTTAAATTTCTGATGGAGGGAAATAAAAACAGCAAACTATTTACGTTTGAACTCCTCTCTTAAACAGGGAAGCTTCCTCTTGGCACTTACACCGGAAGAAACAAATCTGCCATCCCTTTAGATACAATGATCAAGGCCGTGTAAAATATAAAACCACTCAGAATATTCCCAAGTTTATATGTGTACTCCCTGTAATTTACTTTACTCTGTAAACTTAATAATACTTGATAATTGTTAAGGATGTGTTACTTACTTTGATCTTTCTGCCTAGGACAACAGCAGAAGCCTTTTGTCGTATATTGTCTCATATTATCTTCGAAACTTTGATGAGGTAAGACCGACTTTGCATGCAGCTCTATTTTGATTTTCTTTTCCTTGCATCTGTGTGTGTGTGTGTGTGTGCGGTGCATGATATGAGTGTGATGGTGTGTTTGTGCAAACTTGCAGATGCAGAGGCTGGAGCAAGACTTGGGGCCCCTCCCTCTGCGCTCTCCATCTTGTTTCCTTGATGCAGTCCCTCAGTAGCCAGGAAGCTTGTCATTTCAGCTAGGCTGATTAGCTGTCTAGTCTGAGGTTTCAGATCATCTTATTTCTGCCACCTGCCCCACCATGCTGAGGTTACAGGCTCACGTAGCCATGATTGGCTCTTTCCATGGGTGCCATAGATTTGAACTCAGGTCCTAGAGGATGGCAGAGTAAGCACTCTGGTCATTGAGCCATCCCAATGGCGCATGCCTCCTCTCCGTAGGATGATTCCGTTGTGTTTTTCCAGTTGTCTTGTTGGGGTTGCTGCCATTCCTGTTGTCTCTTTTTCACACTGATTTGTTTTAAATTGTGTTTGCTAATTAGGATGCTGGCAAGGAACAGTGTGTCTTCCCTCTGGCAGAGCCCCAGGAGCTGTTCCAGGCCTCACAGATGAAATTCGAAGACTTCCAGAAAGATCTCAGAAAACTAAAGAAAGACCTGAAAGGTAACATAAGACCCTGAACTTACATTTTTAAAAATATATAATCATAATGATAGATGATAAACTTTTAAGGATTTTTAAAATAAGTTAGGCAGAAACTTCACTTAGTGTTTTTTTTTAATCTCTTTATGTATAGCAAAAGAACAATATGTCCATATTTTTGTTTTTCGTCACTTCTGAAAGTTGGGCATTGGAAATTCAGTTATCCAATCATATCTGCCATTTGAGTCACAGTCCATTCCCCTGGGAACAAGTTCACATTTTGTTTTTATTTTGTAGCCAAGAACCTTTGGATAGCCTCCATATCTTGGTTGGACACAAATCCTGTCATTGTTGAAAGATTAATAGTTCTGGCCTGTTCTCCTTTGATATACTTGCCCAAAATTCTGTGACTCGTAAACACTTGTGAAAACAAAGCGTGTTCTGTGCATAAGAGGTTAAATGACACATGTGTTTACTGTTGTATGGTGGTCAACAAAGCCTAACATCATGTAGTTTTGATGAGTGATTATCTGAAATTCCGCAAATTTCTTTAATCAGTAACATTTACATGCAAGAAAATAGTCTTCCAAAATTTCCTTCTTCCCTCCTTTTTGTGCCATTTATTGTTGTTATAGTGTTGGGAATCTATTTCCACTTCTTTTTGAGTTATATTAAGTTTAGAAAAAGAGAAAATAAGGTGACATGGAATTTTCATTTGATATAGTGTTACTAAATGATATAAAGATTTAGTCACTTCTGCACAGAATTAAAAAAATCTATTTTTTATGAGACCCAGTCTCAAAATAGGAAATGCATTTACCTGAGTTGGTCCTGATCTGTCACCAGATTTATGGCTGTTATATTCTGGACACAGATAAATTTAAATGGATTTCAATAAATATCACAATTTTTAAAGTTCCTATATATTCACATGGTATACAGTAGGTGTTAGTGAGATGCGGTCAGTTTCCCAAACACAGGAACTGCTGTTAGAAGAGCTGCAGCGCTGTCCCTTATCTGTGTTCCTTTCCAATTGTATTTATAGGTACCTAGTGATTAAGGATAAGAAATGGTAGCTTTCCCTTATCTGAATTTAACAAGTATGTGAGAACTGTTTTCTTCTTATTAGAAGTTATGGCAACGTATATTTAAGTTGTTGGAAGGGAGATATGATGAGGGGTTCTGGGAAGAGTTGCAAGTGGTGGACTGTGACGGTTGGATATGTTCAAGATATATTGCATACATGTATAAACTTTCCAATAAATACTTTTTAAAAAGATGATTGAAAACTAATTAATTCTTAAAGCATTACATAAGAATTCCTATTATAGAGTTTGTGACAATTTAAAAATTATGGCTTTGTTTAGTTAGACTTTACATTCGTAGTGGTGTGGTGCCAGAAGCATTTTGGAGAGGCTGGAAAAAACTTCATATATCCATCAGCACTCCATTTTTGAAAATTAAGATTTCATCATTTACAGATGATTAATAAGGGGAATGATGTTATTAGTAAATATGAAGTTACACAAACAAGCACATAGTCACTTACATGTGAGCACTCAGATAAACACATATTCAAACATTCATATACACACAGACATGTACATACATGCACACAGATGTACAGTTCCCACATATATATACCTTCACATACACAGAAATGTTCACACATGTACTTACACACATAACTGAAAACATATGATACATGAACATACAGATCCTCTTTAGAACCCATTGGTGTTAGATGTATATGAAGCCATGAAAATACGAGATTTAATTGTGAGAGAAATCTGGGAGCCCAAGAGGACAAATGTTACGTATGGACTGAATGAAGGACGAGGAGTCAGCGCCTCCACTATGTCTCTTGAGCGGTTGTTTTCTAGAGCAATGCATTAGCTACAGAAAACTACATAATGGAGGATCATCTTAGTATATGTAAAAACCACAAGAGGTTAAACAAGAGTTAGCAGCCATGAAGGCTTGTGGTTTACAGAGAGGAAAGATGAATGTATTCAAAGACCGGTACCATTGGTCATCAGCTGTAACATTTTCCTAGCAACTCCCTTCTTTGTGGGGTGTGTCACTTCAGTGTCATAGAATGGGAAGTGTGGGCGCTCCCCAAGAACTCTTTAGTTCATGGCAGGCAGAAGCGCAGAAGAAGGAAGATGATTCTGGGGACAAGGTACACATTCCATAATCCACTTCCTTCAAAGACGTTCAACCTGTCAGTAGCCCATTCAGCCATGAGCTCATCATTACCTGAAAACACTGTTGAGGACAATGCCCTCAAGACACTGCTGGCTGGAAACCAAGCCTCCCATACATGCATCTCTGGGGGGCCATGCCATATCCAAACTATAACGGGGGGAGGAGGGGTTCATGAGCAAATAAATACAGAAACTGTAGCATTAAGTTTAATTGTGAGAGGAAATCACAGTATTGTACAGTGGAGGGATGCGCAGTAGTTCTTTGGTTTATTTTATACAGAGCACCCATTTTTTTTTTTCCCACAGAATGTGTGGTGGGCTCTGTGGCTAGGGGAGCACATCTAACACATTCTGAGGAACACAGGCTTGGTACTGTGTTAGGGGCACAAGCATGACGTGCCACTGAGCTCACAAGGAAACAAGTTCATGAAACACTTTCACCGCCTGTTGTTGTTGCTGCTGTTGTTTGGACGAATCAGCTTAGCTCGAAGTGGTGTCAAATTCTGAGAATTAAAAAAATATCTTTTACTTTTCAAAATCTGATTGCTTTCATAGTGGAGATGACTTGGGCACAAGGAACAAAATTTTATGAATCAAAATTTACTTCTAAATTTTGAGAAATAAAGTACCATCAGCAATATAGTTTTTGTATCAGCGATGCATGAAGTTACTTCTTTCTGTTAGGTGTGGTTTGGTTATGCATAGACATATTCATATAATTAAATTGAGGTCAAATTGGAGGTTATTTTATATGAAGTTATAGTACTTAAAAATAGTATCTACCTTGATCTGTGTAGTCCTTTAAAACTATTGTTTAATTTGCTTTACGTTTAGATTTATTTATTTTTTATTATATGTGGGTGCATGTTTTGCCAGAATGTGTGTCTGTGTACCACATAAATGCCCAGTGCTCATGGAAAGCAGAAGAGGGTATCAGATTCTCTGGAGCTGGAGTTACATGGGGTAGTTAGTTACCATGTGGGTGCTGGGAATCAAGCCTGGGTCCTCTGGAAAATCGGCCCATGTACTTAACTGCTGATTCATTGCTCCAACCACTAAAATGACTAACTTTTCATAATCAAATTTAGGGAATGCTTTAAGAAGTTTCAAACAGCCTGTCTGCACATTTTTGGAGGCAGTTGCTTTAATCAGATATAGAAAAATGGTTAAGCGCATAAACAAGCCATTATAATACTCTGGTAAACATTCAGTAGAATTTGCTATTCATGAGATAAAATTGAATTAATAGTATGATTATTTGTTAATGACAAATGTGCCGTCTCCACAAAGTTGCTCATTTACCATCTGGCCCTCTTGTTTCCACATACTGTCATCATTTTTATTTCTGAGGAAACTGAGGGACAATGTGTTAGGGCTTGGACATCTTAGGGAAACACCTGAGCCTCATCTTAGCACTCCTGCGAAGACATGGATTGAGTTAGCTCTTTCTTCTTACCTGAAGATTCTCATGTCTGCCCCCCAGGATGAGAATCAGGCTTCCTAGCTCAGTGAAATGCCTTTTGTTCAGCAATCTTGATTTCTTCTGGATATCTGTACCTTCTTTTTGATACAGTTGCTCCAAATGATGCCTTGTGACCCAGTGTCTTTGTGAGGTAATGCAATCTATGGTGAAACTATGTCAGAATCTCCATAAGTCTCTGTGCCAGCGACTTGGCTCACGGATAGATTCTTCTGGACATGAACGAACATTATTGATATCACAACAGAGCAACAAAGTCCCGTGAGTGCCTTTCAAAAAGATAGCAGCTAAACCAAATCCGGCGTTTTCTTTCAAAGAACATTCTACTGACTAAGGAAGCTTACTGAATTGTGTTATATTACTAACACTTAAGCCATTTATCAATCTTAAGAAAATCCAAGGCATAAGAAAAATAAAAACAAGCCCACTTATTTGAGCTTGTAAGTTCAACAATATAAGCAACAATTAATTCTTTAGGGCGAGGAGGCAGAGGAGGGGAATAAGCAACAGAATTCACTGAGCCTAAGGAGTGGGTCATTAAGGAGTACACTGGCCTCTTTCAAAATATTGGTTATGTTCTATTTCTTCAGTTGTAAATTGAATATATGGATATTCATTTAATTATTCTTAATATTTTATGTGCATGTTATATGTGTTCCTTTATGTGTATGGCAGGGTTAATAATCTTATTTGAGAAGAAAGGAAACTGGGCAACCATCCAGGAATGTTTGATTTAGAGTTGAAACTGAGTAATCTGGGCTCCACTAATTTAAACTGTGTGATCGTTCAGTCTTTTCTGTTCTTTATGAAGAAATTATATAACTTGCCAAATTCAAAAGTAAACATAGCTAAGGAACATAAGAAATTTAATTAAAAGAATAAACTATATTAAAGAAGAAGAATATAATACTCTACTTGGAGGTAAAAGATTAATATGAAAGAGAAGCACTTTTTGGTTACACAGTTCAAACATATATTATTTAGAAGGAAATAGTAAAAATAAAATTAACTGCTAATGTCAGAAAGCTGTTGGCATTTTACAGAAACATAATCCATTATTTTGGTTATTGCTTTTTCTATTTCAGAGTAAACTAAGGAAAACCAAAACCATACTACTTTAATAGAAGTAATTTAATATAGAGAAGTTAACACATATTGAAAGGTCAAAACAGTACCAAAAATGACCAAGTAATATAGGAAGCTGCCATCATCCATGGAACTCAGGAAATAGGAGACATCGAAGTTAGTGTAGAACAGACACCTTTAGCAGGAGTGCCCCAAGGGGCTGGACCTAAGCCTCAGAGAGAGGATACTTCTGCTGCAAATGCTGCCCT